AGTGGAAACCCATGAGGAATGGCGGCTGGGGGAAGTCTGAACACGGGATCCTTTTCCTCTAGTGGAGGAGCATTAGGCAATCAGTGATGGCCCTGTGGATTGCTGAAGTCTAGAACAGTAAGCTCTGCCTCTGAGCACACAGGAAGGAGAGAAGGGATGGACAGGACCACTCACCCCAGGCAAAAAACCTCCACCTCTCGGATTGTTGATTCTAGGATTTCCTTGAATAAGGGAAGGATTTTTGGTGAATGAAGTCAGCATACCTCGGCGATAATAATATAAAAAGGAGAAATTGGTTAGAAATTACATCATGCTTGTTGGGCCTGCTCAGTTCTGTGGCCTGGGAAGGTTCCCCGGATAGCCAGGCTATAGCTGGAAGGTGGGTGGTGATAGGGTGATAGGAAATGGACCTGGCTCAGGGCCTGTGGAAGACTCAAGCCAGGCCACCCCTGACTCCAAACCACCATGTCTCCCTCCCCACTCCCTGCCCACCTCCACCGCAATTCTGTGGCCCTGAACCCTTGCCTGTTCTTCTGATCCTCGCAATCTTTCTCTGTCCACTTTCCACACAGAACATAAGCCAAGTCATGCAGCAACTGATTTCTTAATTGAATCTTAAAAATATATTTAATTGAAAAAAGTACACTGAAGAAATGCGTGTAATACTCTTTATAGGAAATCCAAAAATGATGACACTTAACAGGTACAGACAGTTACATGAACGCACAGAAAAACAGAAGAAATAAGAAAACAATTAGCTTTAAATGGTGGGACTCTCTGGAGTAAGGAGAGATGGGATTAGGGAAGAATGTAAGACAGTTTCAAAGACACTGACATTAGCTCAGTTTTTAAAGTTATGAGGCAGGATCATTCTTCACAGATTATGTATGCAAAACATATATTCAGTTGTATGAAGGAAATGTCCCTTTCTTCCCTCTCCCTCCCTCCCTCCCTCTCTCCCTCACTCCTTCCCTCCCTCCTTCCCTCCCTTCTTTCTTTCTTTCCTTCCTTCCTTCCTTCTTTCCTTCCTTCCTTCCTTCCTTCTTTCCTTCCTACCTTCCTTTCTTCTTTCCTCCCTTCCTTCTGCTTCTTCCTTCCTTTTCCTTCATCTTTTTCTTTCTGATCCAAGAATCAAACCCAGGGTTTTGTACAAGCTAGATATTCATTCTTCCACTGAAATACTTCTTTATGGAAAACAAATATTTGATTTTTCCCCCAAACCCTCTAAGGTTATACTCTAGAACAAAGAATCCAGGTTGAAAGTGAAAAGCAATTTGCTTTCTTCTTAAATGTCATTTCTCACTGCTTGTTTGTGGTTGAACAGCTATGTTTAAGATGTCACATGTTACAGTCTATTAAGGAATGAAGAAGGGCTTAATGAGCCACTAAAAGTTGTTAATTTTGTGCTATAGAGATGAGGAGCCAGCAAAGTGTCAAAAGAAAGATATACCTGAAGAAGTGATTTGGAATAATTAACCCAGGAGGAACTTGCAAAATCATATGAAGATAAATCAAACCATTAAAAGAGTGGATTTTTTCTCTTTAAGTTCACATGCATTTACTATTCCCAAGCAAAGACTTGAGAGTGTACATTTTTTTAAGTTCTTAATGTAATCCTGATCCACACAGCTACTTGAGAGTTGTGGGGCCATTACTAAGTACTCAGCTGAGATGCAGTAGGTAGTATTAAATAACACCACGAATCAGAACAATGAACTCCTTAGCCGGTGTGATTGGGCCACATGTAGCTGAGTGTCAATTTGTCAATGATCATATTGTTTAAACAGCAATCCAGCCAGGCCCAAATTTTGTTTCTATTTATCCTTTTTAAAAAAACTTCACAATTTAAGTAGTTCTTTTATGACTTTATATATCCTTAACATAAAACTTACTGATTAAAGGACTGAGTCTTTAGTTTTTCTAATTTAAAGATCCAGAAGTGCTGTTTTCCAAATGTAGGTTAGCTGATCATTTTAAACAGTATATTCTTCAAACGTTTATCAGGCAGAAAATATATGTAAACGGGGGATGTATTGAAAATGAGCAAGAACACCCAGGTATTTAAAAACCTAAGGTGATCCAAAAAAAAAAAAAAAAAAAACAAGGCTTAAGCAGGACGCTAGTGACTCACGCCTGTAACTAGCTGAGATCTGAGGATCACAGTTCAAGGCCAGCCCAGGCAGGAACTTCAAATTATGTAGTGGCTCAAGTGGTAGAGCTCAGGGACAGCACCCAGGCCCAGAATTAAAGCCTCAGGATCGGCAAAAACAAACAACCGAAAACCCAAAGCTTAACCCTTGTATATATGAGTGGACCAAGAAAATGCTGTACATCTACAATGGAATCTGGCTCATCTATCAGAAAGCATAACATTACATCATCTGCAGGGAAATGGTTGGACCTAGAAATGATGTTAAATATATCTGGCTCAGCGAGACCAACGGCAATGAAGCTAGATGTAAAACACAAACATGGACGATACTATCTAGAGGGCTCTGTAGAAACAGACTGACTAAAGGATGGTATAGCTCACAGAGAAGTACAATTGTGTCATGCCTCTGAACAACTAACCAACTGTTTACCAAAGTGAGTGTCAGGAAGCCAAACCGTATTTGAGACCAAGAGTGGCAACCATCAGTGGGGTACAGGAAGGGAGGGAGGAAGCATGGGAAAATGTAGTCATTGTCTTCAATGGGCATGATGGAAAAATTGAACGACATAAGCTGAAGGTAAAGATGAGTGGAGAAAAACTGAGGGAGAAGGATGAATACTCAGAGGCTGACTAACGGGATCAAAACTACTTGGCGCAACCCAGTTAACAATTAAAAGTATCCCCCAAAGCCAAATATATATATATATATATATATATATATATATATTTCCAGCAATTTCTTTATGCTCCATTCCCTGTCCTGCACCTTATTCTCTGCTTTGTTTGCTTCGGATCAGTGTACCTCAAGTATGCCGGGACCTGATGAATGCCACCGCTTGCCAGCCAGCATTGTGACCATTCTTGTGCTGTGGCTGTTCTGTGTGTGTAATCCCACAGCAGTGTTCTGTTCTGGGCAATGACAACTACATTTACTCTGAGTTCATCTGTGGGGGTGGTTTCTTTAGTCCCAACCCATAGGCTCCTGTGTGACCCACCCACGCCTCCCACCCTCCCTCACCACCCCAGGGCCCATGGGCAGCCCAGCATTGATAGACTTGGAAGCCTCCGAGGGATGAAGAAGGGGGAAGGGGAGGAGAAGAACTAGGTGTAAGATGGTCCAGGGACAGAACAGAAGGAAATCCAAGTGATGATCCTGCACAGCGGCCCTAGCTTACCTGTGTGGCTGGTGGGAGGAGCTGAGTTCTAGAGAGTTGAGCTAAGGGAAAATCTATCCTGGTGGCCCCAAGACAAACCTTCCCTCCACGCCTTCAGTTCCCTTCACTGTTCACTGTTCCCCTGCCTCGGGTCCTGGGCCTCTACTCTCCTCTTCTTCTTCCTCTTCTTCTTCTCCTCCCTTGTCCTCCCCTCCCCTCTCCTCCCCTCCCTTCCCCTCGCCTCCCCTCTCCTCTTCTTCTTCCTCCCTTCCCCTTCCCTCTCCACTTCTTCCTCCCTTCCCCTCCCCTCTCCACTTCTTCTTCCACTTTCCTCCCTTCCCCTCCCTTTCCCTTCCCTCCCCTCCCCCTCCTCCCCTCTCTTTCCCTCCCCTCCCCTTTCCTCTTCTTTTTCCTCCCCTCCCCTCTCCTCTCCTCTCCTCTTTTCCCCTACCCTCGTTTCTCCTCCCCTGTCCTTCCCTCTCCTCCCCTCCCTTATGCTCCCCTCCTCTCTCCTCTTCTTCCTCTCCTCCCCTCTCCTCTCCTCCTCTTCTTCCTCCCCTCTCCACTTCTTTTTCCCCTCCCCTCTCCTCCTCTTCTTCCTCCCCTCTCCTCCTCTCTACTACTTCTTCTTCCCCTCCCCTCTCCTCTCTTCCTCTTCTTCCTCCCCTCTCTACTTCTTCTTCTTCCCCTCCCCTGACCTCCCCTCTCCTCTCCTCTTCTTCCTCTCCTCCCCTCTCCACTTCTTCTTCTTCCCCTCCCCTCCTCTTCTTTCCTCTCTTCTCCTCCCCTCCTCTCCCTTCTCTCTTTCTTTCCCTTCCTTTCCCCACGTACTTACAGCTCTCACCACTTCCCCTCTGCTCGCTCCTGCTCACCCCTTGAGCTCCTTGGCAGAGAACTGAGCCTGTATATTCTCTCCTCTCCCTAGTTAGTAACTAGGATTCCCAGCATACAAGCTCCATACACCACCGCAGAAGAAATAGCCATGCTGGCGTCGGCGTAGATCTGCTTCTAGCTGTGGCACAGAGGGCATGGGGAAGGCAGGAGAGGAAAGGCCCACCTGGCCCGTGAGCCAGTGTTCCCTCCTCTATGCCCACAAGTGCTTTGGGCCCAAACCTCACCGGGACTCCAGAAGCGAATTAAATCCTGCCTGGAAAAAGGCGGCCATCACTCTCTGTGATGATCGTGGCACCCGTCACCCTCTCTGAAGCTGGCCAGAGTCTCCATGTCTCTGGGGAGGGTCTTCCTGATCAGCACTAGATGTGGAATGGAAAACTGGGCCCAGGTCCAGCCCAGGACGCTGCTTTCCCAGTTACCTCTAGCTGGCAGTGCGTGGCTCTGCTCTGAGAAGAAACACGGCCGCTGTCCCCTGGGCTGAGGGTCAGTGTTAAGTGCTCAGTCCATGTAGGCACCAGACAATGAGAGGAGGAGTTCAGTGCTCCCATTACAATGCTGCGGTCCTCTCTGGGGCTCTTGGCTGGGGCACACGGAGGCCATCTTGGCCTCTTGGGGCCAGGAGACACACATATGCATTCATCAGGTCACACAGGCGCTTGATTTCAAATGGGCCCAGAATGTCCCCAAGGCTGGACAGCTGGCAGGGAGAGGACCCCAGCTCTCCACCACGACCCAGGGACACTTCCGGTCTCCTTGGCCTCATCCGCTTTGAGTCCCTCTGTGTCTCTCTGCCCCTGCAGGCGTGTACACCTTTCTGTCCAGCACCCTGAAGTCTCTGGAAGAGAAGGACCATATCCACCGGGTCCTGGACAAGATCACAGACACCTTGATCCACCTGATGGCCAAAGCGGGCCTGACACTGCAGCAGCAGCACCGGCGGCTGGCCCAGCTCCTCCTCATCCTCTCCCACATCCGCCATATGAGGTAAGGGGCCCTGAGTCCTAACTACAGGAAGCTACCTCCACTTACACGGCGGCAGACAAGCAAGGGCTGCCATGCATACACCTAGCACCGTGGGATTCCTTCATGACCCACCATACATGCTGGGGCTAGGGGAGGAGGACACAGAGGAAGGCGTTGAGTGTGCCCGGGCACCTGTCAGATTCCCCTTCCTGAAGGGGGCAGCTGTGGGTGTCTGTGGGCAGAGGCAAGTATGAGGCGGGATGGTAGAAGTTGGCGGAAATGTCCTGAGGCCAGGGCCAGGCTAGCCAGAAGGAAGAGGTGAGATCGCTTCTGAGGAGGCTCCAAGCTGGAGTTCTGAAATCCAAATGGCACGAAGTCTGGCACATCCAAGTCCTGGGACCCACCCTTCCTGAGACAGGCTGGCCAGATTGTTAAGCTTCTTGGGAAAACCAATGTACCTTTTTCCTTTACCTCCCAAGAGCACTGTCTAGGATTGCCACACAGGGTATGCCCGCAGCAGGATTCCTGGGTGAACAGCATGAAGAAATGGAGACGTGACTCACTGAACATTTGACTCATGCCCTGTGCCTTTGAAATTCCTACGCAAAGCGTCTTCTTGGCCAAGTTAGGGAGAAAGGGATGGCAATCACAGTCCTCAGGGACTCCCTGGGAGTCTTGGGAACAGACACAGGACTCAGCCTGCTGGGCACAGCAGATGATCGCATTCTGAGGAAAACATGTTCAATTCTTTCTTTTCTCTTACTCATCCTTCTTCGGGTGGCACGGGGTTTGAACTCAGGACCTTGTACTTGTAAGCCAGGTGCTGTACCACTTGAGCCACATCCCCAGTCCTTCTTTGTTTTACTTGATTTTTTTTTTTTGGTCTTTGCTTCCATCTGTCTCAGTCCATGATCTTCGTATTTCTGCCTCTTACACAGCTGAAATTCCAGGTCTGTAGCAGTGACCTTGGAGAATCTATGCAAGCCCTATGTATGTTTATCTTTGCGGAGGAAAAAAATCACTGACTTTTCTAACCTGTGAACTCAGGTCTAATTAGTTAACATCAAGGATAGTTGCTGTGTATATCAGTCCTGGCTGATTTTATGTCAATATGGGAGGGCGGGGAGGGGGGGAGGGGGGAGGGAGGGGGCGGGACACAGTGGTGCAGGAACTGTTATCATTGAGGGAAGAACTAAGAAGTGGTTGCTGGGTTATTGGCAGCTCTGAGCATCTGGCCCCCACCCCCCCATCTCCGTCCTCCCCACCCCTCCACCCTCCTCTTACACATGCATATCTACAAAATATTTTGGTGCCTCGTTATCTCAGCGTAAAACACAGAACTCTGTTTTGTCGAATTTGGCCTCTGCCATATGGTGTTTCTCCAAGAATTTAATTCCAGCCTTCATCCCCCTGGAAATGTGATGCATTACGTTATTGGAGGAAGGGGACCATGGCAGATCTGGGGGGCATTCACTTTTAACAGCGTTTAAATTGAAAATGGGTAACACAAACAACATCATGCTTAGACGTGTCCTTTAGGTTGGGTCGCAGGCCTGGACGGCTCCGATGCTGAATTCCATGTCAGGACTCCAGCCTGGGCTAACCCTTCCCCAACCACAATGTGAAGATACAGTGTTAGGACATAGTCAGTTCTGCCTCTTCATAATCCATATTTCTTTTGTTTTCTTCTCTTTTTCTTGTGGTGCTTGAACTCAAAATCTAGATGCTATCCCTCTGCCCAAGACTTGAATGACAGCTCTATTTCCAGCTTTTTACTAGTTAATTGGACCTAAGAGTTTCAGGGACTTTCCTGCCCAGGCTGGCTTCAAACCAGGATCCTCACGTCTCAGCCTCCTGAGTAGCTAGGATCACAGGCGTGAGCTGTCAATGCCGGGCTGTATTTCTTTTCAAAAGCACTTTCAAGTGAGCTCAGAGCTGTCATCCTCGCTCTTTTCCCTCTGCAGTATGTGGGGCAGAGAAGAGTTGCGACTGGTAAAGGGCAGAGTGGGTTTCTAGGGGGGAAAAGAGGAAATGGCACCTGCCTACACTCCCCTCCTCTACCAAGTTTTAGGTAGCATTTACAGTTCTAGGCTGTGGTAGAGGGCAGGTTGGGCTGACCCCTGACCCCTGTCCCTCTTGGAACTTGCACGGTGTGTGGGGTTGAGAAGAATAACACCTTAACACATAGAGTGAGTATGAGAGAGAGAGAGCACAACCAGGCTGATGTGAAAGGGGGTGGCTAAAATGGAGAGAGCTGGGCCAGGGCCACAGAGAGGAGAGACGGCTGGGGAGTTCACTTTTGAAGACTTGGGGGACATGCATACAGGAAGAGGAAACACCCAAGGAATGCCCCCTCCTAATTCTAGAAGGATCTTTGTTCCTTTAAGGGGCAGAGCAGAACCCAGTGCAGTCTACAGAGTTCACAGAGAATGAAGGGCAGGACCCGTCTGTGAAGGGAGACAGAATGGGTCATTTGGACGCTGGATGATTGGGACAGAAATGTTTATTCTGGATTTGACAGGAAGTCATTGGGGAGTTTAAGCAAGGGAATTTCTTAAACTGCATTACCCATTTTAGATAGCTCACTCCTGAAGCAAGCTGGGTGCTGGTGGTTCACACCTGTGACCCTAGCTACTCAGGAGCCTGAGATCTGAGGCTGGAGGTTCAAATCTAGCCTAGGCAGGAAAGTCTGTGAGATTCTTATCTCCAATGAGCCAGCCTTTAGTGATGAGGCTAAAGGAAATCACTCAGATCCTGAGTTCAAGCTCCAGTACCTACCTGCATTCCCCTCCCCCTCCCCCAGAATGCAGAATGCTGACTCCTGATTGGCTGTAAGTGGCAGGTTCTCGACTTAGCTGTAAGGATGGTGTCAAGGAACAGGGCTGAAAGCCAGGCTGTGGAAGGAAGGAAGCCAGGCTAGGAATGGCTGGGGTGGGGAGGGTGTGTCTGTGAGTGTGGCCTGCCCTTGAGGGAGGGGAATTGAAGCTGCCTGGAGATGCATCCCAGACTGGGGCTCTGAAGACCCTTGACCTTCTGCAGATGCCATCCTCCGGGCAATCTTTCAGTAGAAAGAAGGCTTGGGTGACCAGGGTCTCGGGACCTTCTCTAACCTCCCCTTGCTAGGAATGTCACAAGTCTTGGGAGCACAGCCAGGCTCTAACGTGGTCTTCTCTGTGTCCTCCCCTCCGCCAGTAACAAAGGCATGGAGCATTTGTACAGCATGAAGTGCAAGAACGTGGTGCCCCTGTACGATCTGCTCCTGGAGATGCTGGATGCCCACCGACTGCACGCCCCTGCCAGCCGCCAGGGGGTGGCCCCGGAGGAGCCCATGCAGAGCCAGCTGACCGCCAACGGCTCTGCTTCTGCACACTCCTTGCAAACATACTACATCTCCCAGGAGGCAGAGAGTTTCTCCAACACCATGTGAGAACTCCTGGGAGCCCCCTCCCCAGGTTCTGAGAATCCCTGTCGCATTTTACCCACGTCATGCATCACTTTCACAGAAATTCTGTCTCCTGCATACACTCCGGCATGCATCTGCCACCCGTGGCTTTCTAGTATGAGTGGCCATTCATTTGCTTGCTCAGTTCTTAGTGACATGTCTTCTGTTGGGAACAGCCAAAGGGATTCCAGGGCTAACTCTTTGGTAACAGCTCTCTCCCCCTCTTTGCTACATGATTAAGAATGAGGATTCTTGTAGTGCGCTTCATGACTGAACTCAGCCTGTGAGATGTCTGTGGACTGAAGTTTACTAGTTGAGACCCACACCTGGAGAGTAGACATTTCACCTCCAATAAGCACTTTGTAATGGCTCCAAACTAAGCCTCAGGACAGAATTGAATGGCTCCTTTAATTGACACCATGGAGGAAGAAAGCTAGCTCCAGGCTTCCTCATGGGCATGTTGTATTCCTATGGTAACCTGTCACTTGTGAAAACGATTAAGGGACACCTCGATCGTTTTCACTAAATGGCTTGGGTGTAGCAGCATGCTTGGTGAACCCCGATTCATTTCTCCCCATAGGAATACAAGATGCACACAGGGAAGGAAGATCCCCTTATTCTCAAGACTATGTCGGCTTAATGCATTGCACCTTCTTACCTTGCTGAAACCTACTGCTGGTTTTCCAGAGCACAGGGTTCCAGGTCAGCCTGGCTTTCCACAGACCTGCAGGAAACAGCAAGTTGATTTCAGTTAAGGCATACAAACCAGTCTCTTAAAAAAAAACATTTTTTTGGCTATTATTTTTATAAAAGAAAGCCTTTTTAGCTCCCAAGGACTTGGCAGTCAAAAACAGCTTCTGGACCTATTCCAGCGGGGCTTTGGCATTCACCACCAGAGGGCGCCCTACGTGGCTCGCCCAGCTATGACTTCACACTGCATTTTTCTCACATAGAGGGATGAAGGGCAGTTTCGATTGAGCGAGGAGCACCTTAGTGATGCTTTCTGTTGTTATTGTTGTTTTGATTTTAGGCTTGGGAAGCGGGGTTAACTAGTAACTGGGTGTGATCCATTGTGGGCTGCTAGAGAACAAGAAGGAAAGTAGGGGAGAAACTGGATCAAACCAGGCTGCAGTTTCCCAGGGGTGCACACCCCAGGCAGCACAATGCACAGAGGGCTTGCCCTGCAAGCAGCCGGTGGTCTGCCTCCCCTTCATTTACCATGTGGCCCTGATGATAGGAAACAGTTGGCCTGGGACCCTGGGGGCTGGTCAGTGCTCCTCTAAAAATAAGCTGGTTTGGCCTTGGGAAGTTCTCCACCACCACCGCCCCCCCGCCCCGACTTCTACTCCTTCTGCCCTTAAACTGCATAACCCAAGAGAATGAGACCAAAACTGGGCCACAAGAATCCTTTTCACAACAGCCACCCCACAAAAAATGAAAAAAGAAAAGCTTTCCTTAGCCACAGGGCCGTTTTCCCTGGGCCTTTGCTTTTCTAGTACAATTCTGGGTGGTTTCATTTTCTGAACCCAAATGAAACTTTGATCTTCCCTGACTTCATAGACTACAGTTGCAACACTGCCGAGAGGCCACATAGTAGATGGCAGCCCAGGGAAAGGGCCAGGCTTCTAGCCGAGTTAGATCGCAGCGCTAGTGAGTGGCTAGGCTTCTAGATGCATCGATACATCCTGTTTGGAGCGGTGAGTTCCACTAAGTGGCAGCCAATGAACTAGAATACTGGGGCCCCCAAATAAGTGAAGCTTTCTCTTTTTATTTTTTTCTCCATGCATGTACATCTAAATTTGGGGGGCAATTTTCTGTATCCTCATGAAGAATATGTTTTAAGAACACAATTCTTTTGTTGTTTGTTTTAAAAAGTACCTTATATAGTATAATATATATATATTTTGAAATTGAATTGCTTGTTTATCGGACAATTGAATGTAATAATTCTGTACTGGATTTAATTTTGACTGGGTTGACATTGCAAAAACCAAGGGAAAATGTTGAGTTGTTTTTTTTTTTTGTATACTTTTCAAGCTACCTTGTAATGTATGCAGTTAGTTATTGATGCCTAAAGCCTGGTGATTATTCATTTCAATGAAGATCACATTTCATATTAACTTTTGTATCCACAGTAGACAAACTAGCACTAATCCACATGCCTATTGTTGGATATCGATTGACAGACAATCTTAATGTAGCAGAGATTATGCCTGAAAAGGAGAATTATTCAGGGCAGCTAATTTTGCTTTTACCAAAATATCAGTAGTAATATTTTTGGACAGTAGCTAATGGGTCAGTGGGTTCTTTTTAATGTTTATACTGAGATTTTTCTTTAAAAAAATAAAAACAAAATAAAACACAAAAAAACCTCTAGGACTATAGATGATGTAATACCAGCTAAATCCAAACAGTTATGTGGTAGAAGATTTTTACATGATTCATCTACTGTGTTTGTATTCTTGTTGAGATACTACTACATTTGAAATGGGCAGAGAACATTGGATGGTTGAACTGTGAGCCCTTGAGTTTCAAGCAACTTTGGAAGTCTCTTTTTAATTCTTATTTGAAGTGCCAATAACGAGTGGCTGACATTTCCCAGCTGATGTTGGTGCAGGGCAGAGGGGACATGTGGAGAAATTGTGCTTTCTTCCCACTTTGAAGAAATTTAAGGTCTGAAAGGTATTGAACTACCTGCAGGTGCAGGGTAGGGAAAGGAAAAGGTCTTGGGAATTTGAATGGGGAAAACAAGAGACTAAGAGCATTGACAGTCCTCTGACTCCCGGAGGGGATGCTGGGGGCCGCTCTTCTGTTTCTGCCCTGTAATCTGAAACTAACTAGTCATTTTCAATATGGCTGCTTGAGTTTGTGGGCAGAGTACGGCATCAGCAGCTAAATCCAAAGAATAACGAGAGGTCAAGTGTCTTTCAGCCATCTCCGAGCTTGCTGTCATGATTCTGCGATGCTATCTTACAGCAATGAGTGAGACACCCCAAGAGAAGACCCTATTGGTATCAGCCACAAAATCTCATCCATCCTGAAGGAAGTGCAATCACTGAGAGATGTCCATGATTGCAAATGTTTCCCCATGCCCTATTCCAGGCCTTGTGGGGGCTGAACAAATAAATGACTTTCTGATGATTTACTTTTAATCCTATTAAGGTGTTCGCACTTTGAAATGGCCTTTGATTTAGACTGTTGGCTTAGAGTACCTTTACTCCCCAAGGAGGCCAATTGCAAATCCCTTCCTTGAATAACTTTCCAACCTGGAGACAGGCTGTGGATACTGGGAACTCTCACCAGCCGGTCGTGATGTCTGAGATTCACAGGCAGGTCTGTGTGGGGACAGCGGCTCTGTGAAAGGCAAACGGAGTCATGCAGTAGCTCAGAAGGAAACCACGATCCTTTTTTGGTGCAAGTCTTGGGAGGTTGATCCAGATTGGGCTGTAAACCTCCCAGCGTCACCCCTTGAGAAGGAACTCCCTCTCAGACAAGTGAGCTGAACTGTGGTCCCAGATACCCCACCTTCTCGTCTGTGCGATTCTGCTGTTTTCTAGCTGTCTTTCCTTTCCACTGAAATCAAATTGTGGTCCCTTTTGAAATCACTTTAAATTGTTTGCTAAAGTAATTGCTGCCTCTAGTACAGCATTTGATTTTTGCACTGTCTTTCAGAGACACAAGAAAAATTTCTATTCTTTTCTTTTTTTGCATCCAAATGTGCCTGAACTTTTTAAATACGTAAATGCTGCCATGATCCAACCCCATCTTCAGTGTGTGTGCGTGTGTGAGTGAGTGCGCGCACGTGTGTGTGTGTGTGTGTGTATGTGTATGTATATGTGTGTACAGAGCTGTGCACCCTGGAAATAACATACAGTCCCATGAACAGGTGCCTAAGACATGGACCCCTTTGTGTTTGCAGAGAGGTCATTGGTCATAGAGACTTGAATTAATAAGTGACATTATGCCAGTTTCTGTCTTCTCACTGCTTATCCACAATGCTTTGTGTGCACTACATACTCTTCAGTGTAGAGCTCTTGTTTTATGGGAAAAGGCTGAAATGCCCCATTGTGTTTGATGGACGAATACACTCGCCTGCTGATGCATTCACACAATTACTGATGTGATCCTGTTTTTGTCGTAGCTTTGCTTTGTTTAATGAAACACACTTGTAAACCTCTTTTGCACCTTGAAAAAGAATCCAGCAGGATGCTTAAGCATCTGTAAACCATTTTTTTCTCAACCTATTTGATGTTCAAATAAAGAAGTAAACTAAAGACAAAGGGTTTGAATTGTCTGTTTTCCATTCTACTTCTTGCCGATCACTTATTACTGATCTTATGAAAATGAAGCTAGGCTTTTGCCTGTGATTCTAGCGACTCAGGATGCTGAAGTCTGAGGATCAAGGCTTGAAGCCAGCCTGGCAAGAAATGTCTGTGAGACTCCTATCTCCAATGAACCAGCAAAATGCCAGAAATAGAAGTGTGGCTCAAGTGGTAGAGTGCCAACTTTGAGAACATAATGCCTTGAGTTCAAGCCCAAGTAACTGCATCAAAAATATGCACATAAAAATGAAGTGACCTGTCCTTTGGCAGGAGTGGAATATTAAGATCTCCCACTATTACTGTGTTAGAGTCTATCATGTTCTGTAAGTCCAGAAGTCTTGGTTTAAGGTTTTTAGGTACTCCATTGTCCAGAGCATAAATATTGACCACTGTGATTTCCTCGTCATGGTTCATCCTCTTTATTAATATGTAATGATCTTTCTTGTCTCTTGGTACTGATTTTAATGAAAAATCGATTTGTTGAAATGCCAATATGGCCATGCCCACCTCTTTGCAGAATGCATTTGCATGAAAGATCTTTTTCCATCCCTTCTTTTGTGAGATGGGTCTCTTATAGACAACTGATGGATGGATCTTGGTTTTTCATCCAATCTGCTGTTGGACTTCGAGTCCATTAATGTTTAGGGTTACTGTGGAGAGATATGTCATGTCTCCTGCCATTTTCTTGATTTCCTGTATTTTTTTCTTTTCTTTTCTTATGCTTACTAAACTAGTCTTCTAGTGATTGTTGTCTAATGTGTTTCCTTGACTTTGTTTTTTTCAAATAGCTTACTTCCCTTTATTATTCTTTATAATGCTCATAGTGTTCATGGATTCCTTTAATCTTTGTCATGGAAGATTTTAGTTTCACTGTCCATTGTGAATGATAGCATTGCTGGGTATGCCAGTTTGGGTTGATGGTTGTAGATCTTCATGACTTGAGTTATACCATTCCAGGTGCTCCTTGTTTTTGTGGAGATATCTGCAGTGATTCTGATCTTCTTTTTGCTATATTATAGCTCTCTGAACATCATGAACCAGGATACAATAAAGATACCTGCACAACCATGTTCATTGCTGCACTATTCACAATAGCTGAGATATGGAAACAGCTTAGGTGCTCCACAATAGACAAGTGGATCTGAAAAAACATGGTACATATACATGATAGAATTTTACACAGGTGTGTATATACATGGCTATAGCACAATACATGAGGCTAGGTAGCTCATAAAGAAAGGAGATTTCCAAACCACATGGTAACAGCAGGGCAGATGGCTTCACAATAGCGGCGTGAGTGGGGTCTCAGGGGAGAAGGAAAGCCAGACAACAGGGAGAAGCCAGTTCCATTCTGGCCCAACAACTTTCCCTCAAAAGAACCAACTTGGATGAGAAATACATTCACCACTTACAAGGGCAACACCCCCCCCCAATGACCTAATTGCCTTGCACTAAGCCCCACCCTTAAAGCTTGCACTGCTTCACCACAGGAGGAACAGGCTTTCGGAATGCAAATCCCTTGTGAGTCATACCCAGACCTGGTCCAAACCACACCAGAAAGAGAGAGCCAACAGAGTCATCTACCTGGACAGCTTGCTGCGCAGGCTCATTCCTGGAGGGCACCCACGGGGACAGTGGTTGGAGAAGGTAGTCCTTTCCCAGCTGGTGGACGGTCTTTGAATAGGAGAGTTTGAGCAGCCCTGCTGCTACCACCATCCCTGGCACTTGGTGGGCCCCTCGGCCCTTGTTTACTGGGGTCCACAAGGCACTTGCCCATCCTTGCCTCCTGCTAGAAAAGGCCCCTCTGCATCGGTACCCCAGAAAAAGCATGCATTCTGGCCAATGACTGGCCAAGTCGAAGCCTGGGACGGATGATGGCACTGTCAGCAGCAAGGCCTAGTTCAGAATCGGCTGCT